GGGGTTTTCCTACAAGCATAAACCAAAGTCAGTAGTAAAACCAACCAGAATCTCCTTGAGACAGTAGGCTCTCTTCTTTCAGGCTCTGTTGTTCTAAGCATAGCATGTCTCTTACCTCTGATTGGGCATCTTTCTCAGGAAACTCACTTGAAAGGCTCTCTTCTTTCAGGCTCAGTTGTTCTACGCATAGCACCTCTGAGAGGGCATCTTTCTCAGGAAACTCACTTGAAAGGCTCTCTTCTTTCAGGCTCTCTTGTTCTAAGCATAGCACGTCTCTTACCTCTGATTGCGCATCATCTTTGTCAGGATGCTCACATGAAAGTCTCTCTTGTTCTAACTCTAGCATGTCTAGCATTCGGTCTTTGTCATCTCGAAATCAGAGTAAGATGTTAATCTGAGTGGGAGGGAAGTGAGTATAACTAAACAACAGTTCGTCATGAGCATCTCCAAAGAGATCTTGGGCGAAATCGTCATAGTTATCGGTCTAAAAGTTGCATAGTATGCAAATCCAGCGAGGTTCCCGAGCACACTTGTGGTCGAGCATCTGGCTTGGTGTCTTGAGAAGAGGAGCCTCTTCCAGTATGGTTTTCCAGCGCCAACTTCCAGAAGAAGTGCCATCTTCAGGTGGATATGCAGGAATAACAGAGTTGGATCGTCCTTCGTCCTTCAACGAATGCACAAGAAAAAAAGCATGAGGGTCGTCGGATATGAGCATGCCCATAGCCGGATGTGGATTATCATCTAGCCAAGATAACATGTTTTGAAAAATACGCCCTAAACCTGGAAAATACCAACATGATCATTATTCTCTGACAAGGGTAGAAAGAGATTAATTTTTTTCATCTGGCAAGGGTAGAAAGAGATAAGAAGACTAACCGGAGAAGTCGGTGTGCATCATAACGATTCCAGAGTCATAGAGGTCATCGCTGTCGTCTGGATGTAAAGGTATTAGGTTGCCGATGGCAAAGATGGTCCCTTCTTCTTCAACACCAAAAGAAAAACCACAAGACTTGTTCAAAGTCGATTCTATACTCTGGCAGACACAGCGAGGGTTCACGAGGAATCGGACAGCTGTTGATGTCCCACCATGCCACCGTCGCGGAAGGCGCCTTCGCGAGTCTCTCACGACCTAAAAGAAAACAAATCGGAGTTAGATCTCTAATCTTCTTTCCCAAACAACAGACAAAGATTAAGAGTAAGTGCCACAAACGACCGATCTTTTCCCATACCGAATCTGCAATCTATCGGCCGACGGACGGAGATCTTTAGACGATTAGGTTTTAGAATTTCAAATCTGCAACGGAGATCTATAGGCGATTGATTAATGTCAGGGTTCCAACTTTGAGAATATATATATACACACGCGAAACTTACATGCCTCTCTAATGGGCTATATATAAAACTGCGCCTTTAGTTGCCCAAACAGCTCTAAATACATTAAGCTCTTGTTTATCAACTTGTCCAATATACCGTGTGTTTTTTGTTTCTTTTCTTTTTGTCGGCCAACACTTCATTTCATTTTTTTTAACACATTTTTA